CGTCCCGTACAATGCCGCGCAGCCCTGCCGCAAACATAGGCAAATTAAAGAGGAGTTTTGACAAAGAATTTAGCTCCTCAGTCGTCAAACTATGTCGCTTCCCCCTTTTGCCGGGAGGGCATGGGAATCTTTCAGGGACAAAGAGCTCCTCGGAGCAAAAAGAAAGCCTAAGCTCGACTCAAATCAGCACAATTTGCAACACTAATTGAGGTTCAGATGCCAGCCAGATCAGTTAACGGAGAGATGAACTGAATTTATTCCCAGGAACAATAAGCCAGGTGTCAAAAGAAAGGAAGGGCAGCGCACGGGAGAGAGGTTATGCGCCGTTAGGTTAAATGAATGGTCTCTGTGGAAAAGCATTGTTCTAAAGCCACTTCTTGAAAAGTTAGGATACTGAAATTGCAGTTACAGTAGTTTGGACTGTAACTTTTACTTACTTAACTTACTCTACTAAATTAATTTTAACTTTAAGCAGTCTGCTTTTTTTTTTTTATACATTCATTCCCGTATTTCAGGCCTATAATAAAGCAAAAAGAATGCTGGGATAGGGCGGCTAGTAATGAGGTTCTGGAAATGTTTTTTTGGAGGAAGGATGGGAAGAGAATCTCCTTCTCCATAACAGATGTGTACTACAGCACAACACATACTGCCTCCGCCAAAAGGCCATAGAACAATGTACAAATAACAGATGTCATGTGCTGACCTTGCTCAGTGGCAGCACCAACTCCTCTGGCCTTCGGGGGCAACAGGGATAGACCTTCCCAGAGCGGAAACGGCCCAGTCAGTAATCTAGATCCTATTTTAGATGAAATGAATGCTGAGTTCTTTCATTACAAAGGCATTGCTGACAAATGGGACAGTCTGCCTGCAGGCCTCACTCCTCACTGAGAGGAGATTCGCCACAGAAGTGACGACTACATTCTTGTAAAACAGGATGACAAAAAATAAATAAATACAGAGACGTGTATGTTAACTGCTATGAGAAGAAGAAAGAGATTCATTACAAACTGGTAAAGGATTTCTCTGGCCCATGTTCTTTGGAGATGACTTGACAAATAATTACATTTCAAAGTGTAAAAAAAAAGTTCTATCAAAATATCATTCCCCTATCACCCCAATCTTTTCCAGCTTTAACTTGATTTCCTCTGCGGTAGTAGGCCTTTGATCTTCCTGCCTCAAAAACAAAGAAAAAGACAAAAATCCCCCCATGATGCATCCCATTTCCTTTACAATTACTTTATTGAAAAGGGCATTACAATCTCGTCTGTGTCTTTCAAGCTACATCCAGTGTAACGTAGAAATTCGATTCTAATGGCGGTGATGAGTTCCAAAAGGTTTATAGTACAAACGGTATCATACAGAGTGTCTGGATAACAAGAAATGTATCGCCAGTATCTTACAAATTAGTTCCTTTGTTGGCTCTGAACATACCTTATTTTTTTAATGGTACATTTCAAACAGCCCAGTGTTTTTACAATATGCATTAAAAAAAAAAAAAGAAAAAATAACATTCTTGAACATTCTTGTCCCCAAACATTTAGGTAAGACAATCTTGCATATTAGCATTGTATGAAAAACAATTACACATACACACACACACTTTACATTGCTGACTTCAACACACAAATGTGGCTTAGTTAAAACAACAAAAAGTGGAAGCCTTTAAATTTGGCTGATGTTAGTGTTGGAAAACCCACAGTGACATACAGAAATGACATAAAGTGTTCAAACATTAAACTTGCTATATTACATGAGATGTGCCTGAATAACCTGTGAAACCAAGTACAGCTTCAGACCAGTGTGTCAGTTTGAGGATACCATGTTAGAAACCCCACCGTGTACAGGGGGTGGGGGCAGTAAACCCAACCGACTGCTTTTTATTGTCTTGGTAACAACCACCGCACCCAACTTGGTTAACTCCAAAGACGCTTTGGCTAACCAGCTGAGATCTTTCACAAAAAGTCATCGTTCTCAACTGTGCACCAAATGACACGTACCATCAGACGATTCGGCTGAAGCTTACGTCTTATTGTCTGGCAAACGTGCGTGGCCTATGGCGTGCAGCAACGCATCGTCAGTGAGAGACTGCCGGGGAAGACTGGGTGATCTGACTTGAGGCTTTGTGTCACCTCCATCAAAGAAAAGAAAAAAAAAAAAAAAGGCCTAACGCACGCTTTCTCAAAGCGTGTGCGGACATTAACAGATTAAGCTTTAAAACCAGTTTAAGTGCCTGTGGAGTACAAATTACACAAAGCTAAAATCATGGCGAGACACAAGTAGTGGTGTTCTTTTTCTTTTTTAAATACCTTCAAGCATTGTGAGTGCTTTGCATATTCAGTTACAGGCATTTGTAGAATGGCAAATATGTAGAATTTGCAAGACAAACAATGACAATGATCCAGTTCTCATTCCTTTTTTTTTTTTTTTTTTTTAAACTACGTTTGAGAATGAATGCCTTTCATTTAAACCTGCATTGCAGTGTGACATCTACCAAATAAACAAATTACACTGAAGCATAATCAAGCTAGAAGAAAAATAACAAAATTAACTCATTTGAGCTACTCAAACCTATCTGTCGTTTGAACTAAATAACTCAGGGGATTACATTTATTTCATGTCGAGTGTTTTTATGCTTTTCTTAGGTTGTCACCGAAACCAAGAAACGAGACTCTGGGGCCCGAATCACCTGCTTCATGCTTGGCTGGAGATGCGAGAATTTGCTTTGCTCAGGAGACAAATGAGCTATAAATGGAACTGAACTCAGTCTTCTCACTTCAATACCAAAACTAGAATGTGACTTTGCAATGTCTTAAAAAAATGGAATCTGAAATACACATTTGAACATTATACAGCATCACAAAGTGTGCAAGAAGAAAGAAAAAAAACTAGAAGTTAGCTTACAAAAAGACTGTACAGTATGTACAATGGAAGTACCAACAGTTTGGGGAGGTCCATGAACACCTGGCTGTCTACTGGCACACGCAGCTGAGACTAAAGATGAGGACAAATCGAGTGCGAAGCTTTTCCGTTGCGCGATTCAAACATTTTTGGCATCAAAACATACGTTCCAAAAGTGGCTTTTCCCTAAGATCGCTTCTGAGTTCTGTCCGTCAAACCACAAAAAGAAACAAACAAACAAACCACCATAGCGATCTCTTTGGATAAACCAAATACTTTAAAGGCAAACGAACATCAGTGTCCTTGACCTTGTACCACATGTCACTTTTAGACGTATAAAAGTTTGGCGAGAATACATTCAATCAAAAGGAGATTTTGGCCTGGAATTCAAAAGAAGAGATCACATCCAAACGGATAATTACTTAAACAGCAGCATAAAAATTATAGCTCCAGTTTTGCCACACTCATGAGAAGAAAAAAAAAGAAAGAAAACCTGTTGTGTATAATAGACATTCAGCAGATAAACTGTGGCAGCTGTCCCACCTGTGATTTGGCATCGTACAGTGTAAAGGTCAAATATTCATAAGACTGTAGTGTACATAAAGCATACGAAGAAAAGGTGGGTCTTTGATTGATGATTGAATGACCACTGGTATGAGAATACAAAGAATATCTAACACTGAAGATAAAGCTGAAGAAATGTAAACCTGACTACTAGTAACTGCCGAGCATCTCGCAGAAGGACCGCTGCTTTTTTTAAAACTTTTTTTTTCTTCCAAACGATGCTTTAGAAGAGTTTTGATTTGTGTTGTCAACCGGCACTGAGATCCTTCCAGCTCATTAAGCAAATGTTCATTAGAAACTGATAAACTGACACAGTCCGGGGGCATTGTTAAACATGGAAACAACATCATGTTGTTATGACATTTAGCATCTCGTACAGAGGTGAGAATGGGCTGACTAAACAGCGAGGTGGGGGCTGTTAGGCCCTCTAGCTGAGCCTGAAACCACTGAGGAGTCTCATCCTCGGTGAGGCTGTGAATCTCACCCCCTTCTCATTTAAAAACACAATCCTGTGGAATATTTTTTTAAATAAGAAATGCAGAAAAACACCTATATGCAGTGCATATACGTGAGCACAGAGTTTAGCATGGGGGGCTTCTGAAGTGATCCACAGCAACAGGGCGGAGACAAAAACGAAAGCCGAGGACCTACTTTTCACTCCTCGTCTTTCCTTGGAGAGGAAACGGAATGGAGGTTTTTGTTGCCAGTGAGAATACTGTCGAGCTTTTCAGAACTTTGACACAACACTTAGGTTTTTCCAAACGCCGGCACAGTCGAATAGAAGACACTGGGTCGTGATACAGTAGTGCTGTAAAGTACCTTCAAATAACAATCATCAGGACACTCAGAAATAAATAAATGTGCAGCATATGCCCTCACGTGTTTCTGGACAAGTATAATCCCCAGCAAAGTCTCTGTTAAATTAAATATAACGGTTTGTGGAACACTAGAGGCTGTAACGACGAGCTCCTTTTTTCTACTGATCGACAGAGTGAAGAGATGAGTTTGACTCAGTGTAATTAATATGTAAACATGGACATTACCAGCAAAAGATAAAGCAAAAAGTTTCAGTAATGATAATACAGTATTGCACTTAGAGCCTCAAAGTTAATCACTGTGACCAAGAAACTTGGATGATGGTTATCGCAAATAAAAAGGAGAATAGTCTGTAGCTAATGATAGTAAAGAATAGCAGATTAGTAAACTTGACTCTAGACAGCATTCAGAAAAATGCTCCATTCATTCTAAGAATAACCATGGATCACGCAGGATGGGTGCATCCACACCAGCAGCACCGAAACCCTGTTGACTCGGCTTTGTCGTTCAGGCGACAGGTTGAAGACTTGCAATCGACTGTAAACATGTTAACAAGGCCTTCATTTTCAGAAACCGCTCCACCGCATTCCCCACATACAGCACAGCACAAACTGTGACTACAGCATCTGGTAAACCTGAATTTGGCAGCATTTCCTCTGATGACAGATTTCTGTGGGTTTCGCAAGTGCATTCGATACAACACAACATTGTCGTCGCCCTAAAAAAAAAAGAAAAAAAAAAGTGGACCGTTTCGACTGAGAGCAACTGACGGGTTTCTCAAGTCTTGATTACGTACCCAAAGATTCATGAATGATTATAAAACAAATTGAGAAAGACAAATGAAAGTAATGAACATTCTGGAAAGAGCCTGCACGACTTAAAAAGAACCAAAAACTGTACCCACTAAAGCAAAAATACACACTCAATAATTACTTTGATCGCTCCTATTTGTAACAGCTCCTTCAAATACACAACACCGTGTTAACCCTTCATGTCAAATTCCAGTCCAGTGTTTTTTTGTTATTTTTCCTTCCTCTTTCTACTTTTTGGAAAGTTTACCGGCCTTCTTTTTCGGCTCGTAGGGTGTTCGCAGAATGCTCGGCGTCTCCTCCATGACGCGCACCAGCAGGTTGTCGATGTAGTCTTCCAGCTCGCGGATGTGGGCGTCCTTCTTTTTCACCACCTCCTTCTGTTTGATGAGTTCCTGAACGACTTCCTCAAAGGTCAGGCTGCTGTAGGCGGCCACGCTTTCCTGGGTCGCCTCCTGAAAAGGGGAGATCCGTCATTTGGCTTTGTGGACAGGGGGGTAGGTTAGACGCTCAGATTTGTTAAGTTAAAACAATTTTTTTTTTTTTTTTAAATCAGATGTGGGATTGAGTTGTTATATTTGCTTTCTGGAGGCACAGACAAAAACTAGGCCTAATTGGGCATGTTGGCCCGTCATGCCTTTATATTTCCTTGTGTGCTGCTAAGAAAGGCTAATTAAGGCCTTAGAAGACGCGGCTGCTCTCTGGAGCCTCACTCCCGATGTGTCCATGCATTCCATGAGGGCAGATGGCATTTCATAATACATATCAAAAAGGTTTAGAAGGGATGGACAGCGGGTGAACGGCTCTAACTGGACAGGGCTGCAGCCGTCTGGAGACAGCTCTCCTCTTTCCCCCGTGTTCCAAACTTTAAAAGCGCCCGGCTGCGTGTTTCCGCATTTAAGAAGGTCAGACTTGCAAATACCAAAATAAGGACGCAACCCGAGCCCCGTTTGTGCCCTTTGAGGACAATGTGTTTGGACGGCGCTGTGTGGTACGGTATGTGCGGATCGCATTGCGCGGGTACGAGAGGAGCCGTAATCGTTTTTAATGAGGGACCACTTTATCGCTTCGGTGCTGGGCATCCTCCCCCGAACGGATAGGGCAGCAAAGCCTTCCCCCCCCGTTTAAAATACCACACTTATCAGCTTCCACTCCCATGCACCATTCAAGCCTCGGCTGCTGCTGGAAGAAGAAAAAGAAAAAGAGACAATGTGGTGAGACCTGGAGCGGGACTGCTTACCAGGTATCTTATCGCTTCTAACAGCACAGAGGCTACTGTGGGGCGACACCAACCCAAAATGAAATATTTGCCTCGGAGATTAAATGTCCAACGTAAGGAAGGGTTGCAGGAACAGAGCTCAGTAACTTACTCCGCACACACACACACACACACACACACACATGCACATCTCACTGCAAGATACTGCACTTAAGCCACCTGAGATGGAAGAAGAGAACAGACAGCCATGAGGAAATTGATGTTGCCTTCAAGTACGAGTGTGTGCGAGGACAGGCTCCCTCTCTCTCCCTCTCACACGCATACACACAAGTGTGGCGTAATAATCAGGAGCCTTAGTGGCTGCTGACAAAGGCCTGGAAATGACCATGAACTGGCAAAGTAATGATGACCATTTTTCTGCGATCAGTAGTGGGGAGAAGATAAGGCGCACACTTGGCATTCTCCAGTTGTGTCATTACAGTTTCTAATGAGCTCAGCTTCGAGAATCTAAAAGCTGGGTCCTTTGAAATCTCTCGCTTCACCCTCCCTCCCCACCCCGTGTGGTTAATTAGGGCCTTGAAGCAGATGAAATGGGAGCTGCCATTTCTGGAAGGCACAGCGGCGCGCACGGGGGCACATGTGTGGATACCGACAGCCCTCAACACCCTCAGAGAAAGGTGAGGAAAGCCATTATCAGCATTCTCCTTCTCATTTAGGCATCACTTTGGCCGCGCCTCACACTGCCCACTAGTACACGCTGCTTTGGCGGCGTTATGTACGGCGAATTTAGTTCATCCTCCAACTGGATATATTTGAAACAAAACAGAAACTGAAAGAATGGGGGGGGGGGGGGTTACAGAAACTGCTAATAATGTGACAGTCTTAGAAACAAGAACGTGGTCGGTGGCTTTCCCTCCGCCATCAATTACGGGATCGATGCGACGCGCCGATGCGACTGACCTTACAGCTTGAAATTTAACACCACTTCAAATTATGAATCAGATCAGGCCTGATGACCGACGTGTGCAGCTGCTAATTAGCCGAGTGGCACATCTGAATGTTCTGAGGCCTCGCGGATCGATGTCACCAGCTGCCGCGTGGAATGAAACTTAAGAGTTCTCAATTAAAAACCCTCACAACGGTCAACACCGAGATGACAACGCCGGCGCAATTAGTGGGGTCAATTCTGCTTTTCTCCATTCAATCTCATTATTTCAGATTTATTCCCCCCCCCCCCCCCCCCCCTTTTT